CAACATATTATTGAATCTAGCCAGAGTGATTAGGCAAGACAAATAAAACACACCCAAACTAGAAAGGAAGAAGTGAAACTGTCACTATTTGTGTGTGACATGATTTTTACATACAGAAAACCCTAAAGACTCCGCAAAAAAAGTTAGGAATAAATAAATACAATAAGATTGTAGGGTACAAAAACATAAAAATCTGTTGTACTTGTGTGTGCTAACAATGAGCTAGCAGAAAGAAATTAACAATCCCATGGAAGATAACAAAAGAATACACCTAGGAATAAATTTAACCAAAGAGGTTAAAAGAAAGAAATTTAAGACACAAATGTAAACATATTCTGTGTTCATGAATTGGAAAAGTTAACATTGTTAAAATGTCCCTATAATCTGAAGCAATCTACAGATTCAATGTGATCCCTATCAAAATCCCAAGACATTTCACAGAAATAAAACAAAAATTCTAAAATTAACATGGAACCAAAGAAGACCCCGAATAGCCATAGCAACTCTGAGAATAAAGAACAAAGCTTGAGTTATCACACTTCCTGATTTCAAACTACTGCAGCGCCATAGTAATCAAAACAGCATGGTGCTGGCAGAAAAACATACATAGATCAATGGAACAGAATTGAGAGCCCAGAAATAAATCCACCTGTATATGGATACAATTTATGATGAGCAGAGAATATACAATGGAGAAAAGATAGTCTCTTCAAATTGTACTAGGAAAAGTGAACAGCCATGTACAAAAAAAGAAACTAGACCACTATCTCACACCACACACAAAAATCAACTCACAGTGGATTAAAGACTTGAATGTAAGACCTGAAACCATAAAAATCCTAAAAGAAAACATAAGCAAAACACTGACATTAGTCATAGCAATATCTTTCCCTTGCCTGAGGAGACATATCTAGAAACAAGAGGATAAATAAGCAAATTGGACTACATCAAACTAAAAATCTCCTGCACAATAAAGGAAAATCGTCAAAATGAAACACAAGCTACTGAATGGGGGAAGATCTTTACAAATCATATATCCGATAAGGGGTTAATATCCAAAATATATAAAGAATGCATACAACTCAATATTATAAAACAGCCCAATTTAAAAATGGGCAGAGAAGCTGAATAGACATTTCTCCCAAAAAGATATACAGATGTCCAAATAGGCACATAAAAAGATGTTCAATATCACCAAATACTAGGGAAATGCAAATCAAAACCACAATGAGTTACTACCTCACACCTGTTAGAATGGTTATTATCAAAAAGGCAAGAAACAACATTGTTGGCCGGATGTGGAGAAAAGGGAATTCTCATACCTGTTGGTGGAAATGAAAGTGGGTGCAGCCATTATGGAAAACAGCATGGAGAGTCGACAAAAAGTTAACAGAACTACCGTATGCTCCAATTATCCCACTGAAAGCAGCTCTTCTGCCCCTCTCCTGTTTGCTCATTTCTGTTCCCCTCTCACTTTAAGAGAACCTTAGTATAGGTATGAGATCAGTAGGCAATTTAACCTAACTCCTGACTTATGCTCTCCTACATGCACACTATGCCTGTTGATTCTTTTTGTGGATAAAATGAAAAATGAAGCAGTTAAAAAATGAGTAGCTCTCTACCTGCCACAATCCTGCAGGCAGATCACACATCTGAAGACTGTCAGACAGTCTGCACGCAAGGGAGAATGATGCAGAATCCAACCTTCTGCCTCAACGATTCACCAAGATTCTTCCCCCTTTTTCCCCTTTAAAAACTGTCATGACTGAGCAGAATATTTGGAGTTGGTCTAAGGACAAGTAGTCCACCTTCTCCCCAGATTGCAGGCTTTCCTGATTAAAGCACCTTTCCTTTCTATCGACCCTTGCCCCTTGGATTATCAGCTTTTGAGCGGCAAACAGCCAAACCTGGGTTTGGTAACACCACTTCTGGGTATTTATCCAAAGAATATGAAAACGCTAATTCGAAAAGATAAATTTACTCCTCTGTTCACTGCAGCACTATTCACAATAGCCAAGATATGGAAACAAACTAAGTGTCCATCAATGAACGAATGAGTAGAGAAGATATGGTATCTATACACAATGGAATACCACTCAGCCATAAAAAAAAAAGATGAAATCTTGCCATTTATGATAACATGGATGGACCTTAAGAGTGTATTATGCTAAGTAAAAAAAGTCAGATGGAGGGCTTCCCTGGTGGTGCAGTGGTTGGGAGTCCGCCTGCCGATGCAGGGGACATGGGCTCATGCCCCGGTCCGGGAGGATCCCACATGCCGTGGAGCGGCTGGGCCCGTGAGCCACGGCCGCTGAGCCTGGGCGTCCGGAGCCTGTGCTCCGCAACGGGAGAGGCCACAACAGTGAGAGGCCCGCGTACCGCAAAAAAAAAAAAAAAAGTCAGATGGAGAATACAAATACCCTACGATTTCACTCATATGTGGAATATCAAAAAACTAAAACACACACACAAGCACACACACACACAACCAAACAAAAACATACATAAATACAGAGTATTGGTTACCAGAGAGGAAGAAGCACTGGGAAAGGGCAAAATGAATAAAGGGATCAACTGTATGGTGACAGAGGGAAACCAAATTTCTGGTCTGGAGGATGCTGCAGTCTGTACAGAAGCAGAAATGTAATGTTGTCCACGTGAAACATAAAATGTTATACACCAATGTTACCTCAATAAAAAAAATTTTAAGTGGTATAAAAACTTCTTTTGCCGCCAACCCCACACAGCACTAACTTTTTTAAACTGAAAATATCAAAGTGAGGCTAAATAAATTATATTAAAATAACTTTACTAAGTTGGATATAAATTCTTTATTGGTATAATTACCTCTAAATTTGATTTATAGTGTATATGTAGGTAAACTGCTTATGATAGCAGCAGTGGTTAAGAAATGAGAAACCCATAATAAAACTAAATTCTTACAGATTGTGATTATAGCAGGGTACAGGAAACTGGTTCCTAAAACGTTTTGAAATTTAAACTTTACCTATCTAAATTTGAAAATGTTAAATTTAATGTCTACTTTGTCAGAATGTCACAAGTCACTTATTATCAGAATCAGAAATACTAGGACCTAATTTTCAATGGATCTAAGTGGTTTCTATTACTTTTATGTGATTGCCACCTTGTCCATGCTCCAAGTCCGGTTTTAATGATGACTTTTTAACAATGTTTCTTCTTCCTTAACTTCCTAAATCACCTATACACTTTTTTCTTTAGGTACAGTTTTCTTTAATGAAACAAACTATTTTCAAAAGTTAACACTCTCCTTTGTTGAACTATTTAAGATGACTATGCAAACTACATAGCACAAAATTAAAATGCTACCTTGATTGTTACCTGGAAATTTTAGAAGCTAATAAGTCAATTTGGGCAATTCAAGTTTAAAACAAAAACAAAAAACAAGCAAAAGAAAACACTTGCATCTCATTTTACTAGATCAACCAACAGAGGACTGTTTTGGACGCAGGGGCACTAAATTATCTTAATTATAGCTATGTAACATTGGCTCTGGAAGTAATCATTTTCTTTCTCATTTCATTCAACAAATGAATGTCTGATTTCTTGTATAGGCTAAGTTTTAAATCTGATCATAACTAATGTTGCAGGAAAAAAATGAACACTTCTTTCTGAGTTAATTATCCAAAATATGCATTTTCTGGCAAAGTGAATACATTTTCTGCTGTGTTAAAACTAATAATTCTAGGCATCCATTCATAAATATCTACATATGATTTTAGTCAACTCAAAGATAAAGCTTGATTACATAATACATACCTATACAGTTATATGTAGTCATGTTTTATGTAGTAAATTTCATATTATAAATAAATTACTTATTTATGAAAGGTTATTCCCAGTAATGTAAGACATGTTCCTTTTGTCTAATTCTATTACTATCTTAAGTAATACATATGGGTCAATGGGTGTCTAAAGTGACAATAATATGCTCATGGGACCAATAATCAGCATCAAACCCAGTCATGAAACAAAGTCTAAAGGTCAAGTTTCAGTAAAACTGTTGTCAGTTGTCAAGAGTCAATAAAATACTCTAAATTTGTATGCTCTCTCACTAATATGTTTTCAGAAAAGTTCTCAAAAGCTTGATGGTCTATAAAATCTGTTTTGTCATTTAATTTATTTAATAATTACATAATACATTGTTAATGTAGTCAAATATGAAATCATAGAGAACAGTATTGACTAGGGCTTGTTTTTTGATCTTGATAATGAGTCAGGGCCTCTTACTGTATAGTATGTCTTTATTTTATTGGTATTCTTAAGAATGATTAATTTTTTAAAATTTCTCATTACTTCCTCATTTTTGTTTTGGAGAACTCATTTTTTAATTTCTATCCAGATCAAATGTGTGCTATTCTTGTTACCTACCAAATGTGTTTTCATGTTATGAAAGTATGATTTAATACATTTATGATGTCACATCTAAAAAACACCCTGAAAACATGAACTATACATTTCATATTTTTGTGTAATTTTTAGATAATTTGGGATTTATATAATATCTATATTAACAAAACATCTCATTAGCTTAATGCATTTTTGGTACCTTTATGTAAAAGTAAAATTTGCTTTTGTTAGCAAAGTTATTGAGTACTTTGCTTCATATTACATGATTGTGTCTCTAGGTATGGCAGTATGGAGTTAACTCTTGCACTTTACAAAATAAAGTGTGGCCTTAGCCTTCACGATTTTTGATAGGTACAACTGAAATGCCTAATCCTGGGTCAGTAATCTGTTTCTGGAATTATGTAAAGTTCAATATATATATATTATAAACATTCTCTTTTTCAGACTGTCAAATCCATTACTGTAGGATTATAAAATTGATAATCAGATTGAATCACTAACAGTTTATAAATCACTAATAATTTTAGTGTTAATAAAATAAGTTGTAGGGTTTATAGCAAATAACCCTGCAAGGAAAATACACCCGTGGGCCAAATATTGTTCACACTTACCAGTTCTTCCTGAAGTTGGGAAATGAGTTCGTCCTTCTCTTTCAGCTGCAGCTTCAGCATTGAGCATTCATCTTTCATTATATCCTATAAGAACATCAAAGAGATGGCATAATACACTCAGACCTTTCACTTTGCTCTTGATAAGTTAGCTTCATGCAGTGGGAGATAATTGCATATGACTAAGAAAACTGAAATTTCCTCTACAGTCTGATATTTTTCATAATATACTCTATGTTGCAAAACAAACTAATGTATCCAAAGATACTATACTATATATGATATATACACATACATTTTTTCTGATAGCCTTTTCTTTTGATTTCTCTTTGTTCATTTAGTTGTCTAAGACAGAAATCAGGGATTCATCCTAAATTCTGTCCTCCCATTCCTGGGCATACATAATCAGTGGAATAAAAATAATTATACTTCAAAAGAGATAGTTTGCCTACCATTTATTCCTGTTATAATTAAATAGTAATTCTCAAATGAATGGTCATGCTATAGTCTTTATTTTTAATGATTTCTGTAACATTTGTCCCTTTCACTAGAGCTCTGTCTTTCGGTATTTAACCTTGTCACTCTGCATGAGCATTCAGCTACAGTCCGCATGTACACAATACATCCACATCCATGACCTCTATTACTCTACGCTGGCAACTCTCACCTAACAAATGCTTAATCTAGACTTATCTTCCAAGCTTCAACCCACAAAAAGAACTACTTCCTGAGCATACACTCAGCGTTTTCCCATGGACATTCAACTCAAACTTCATCTCAACATCTTTTCCTACTTCAAAAATCATTTCTAGTTATTTCTCTCATTATCTTATTTCCTAAAATAGCTAGAAAAGCATCCCATACTCTCAGCTCACACTCAGTCCGAACACAATCTGGTACCCAATTCTTTGATCTGTTTCCTTGGTATTTCTTGAACTCACTCCTTTCTACTCCTCATGGACTTACTCTAGGTATCCATTGCTTCTTATCTGACTGACTGCAGTTAAGTCTCTGAACTGGTTCTATGTCTATCACCTTCCCTACCTGCCAGAGGTATTTTCCTAACTGGGAATTAATTACATCATTTCTTAACGTAACAGCTAATCACTTTAGGGAAAAAAAAAGTCAAAACTCTTTAGCATACCATATGGTGCCTTTCATTCTCAACTACGTGCAAATTGCTGGAGTGGCAGTTTTTCATTTCCAACTTTCTTACAACCAGGGCTCATTCCTACAGAATCGAGCTGCAGAATGTTGTTTCATGTCTCCTTGTTTTACACATGCACATCTCTGGGTTACACTGCATCTCTCTATCTCCCACAATTTCTCATGATCTAGGAGGCATTTCAAGCATTATTCCTTATTCCAGCAGGGAGCCTTCCCTTGTTGGCTGAGTTATGTTTCCCTTGAGGGTGACGCTGTGCTCCATAGCCTCTAAATCATACATCATTTCATATGGTACTAATACTTCAAGTGTTGTTTGCTTGTTTCCTTCCCTCATTAGACTAGTTTCCCTAACCCACTTGAGCAGATAGACTATTTCATTAGCATATTACCAGCACCAAGCATTGTAACTGACACACAGAAGATGTTTAAATCCACGTTTGCTTCCCATAACTTAGATAAACAGTATAAGTAAGAGAATTCCCACTTTTTCTGAACCTGTTAACCTTACCTGAGCTGGCAAGGGAGAAAACAGCTAATGGATTAGAATAAACAGAGTATTTCTTTATTCTGGTTCTCATGGTGTTAATTTGTTTCTATTTTAAGCAATATAGAACACCTGATTCAAATTTACTAATATCTCCTTTCATTTGCTGACAGCCAGCTGATTGGGATATACTAATTATCTGTTCCTTTTATTTCATGGTACTCCTGTTTCTTCCCTAAATCATGGGCTTTCATGGGTAGAGTTTATATCCAACATTTCAATATTTATTTTCATAGATTCTAAATATTACATGTTACAATGTTAACGGTAAAAAAGCTTAGCTTGCTCCATAATGCAAAGAAAAAGTTTGCAGGCTTAAAATGTAGGTAAGGGCTTCCCTGGTGGCGCAGTGGTTGACAGTCCTCCTGCCGATGCAGGGGACACGGGTTCGTGCCCCGGTCTGGGAAGATCTCACATGCCGCAGAACGGCTGGGCCCGTGAGCCATGGCCGCTGAGCCTGGGTGTCCGGAGCCTGTGCTCCGCAACGGGAGAGGCCACAACAGTGAGAGGCCCGCGTACCGCAAAAAAAAAAAAAAAATGTAGGTAAGAAAATCATCATGTCCCTTAGAATCAGAGACATCTAAGGTCAAATCCTTGGTACTACCATGAACCCTCTCTGTGGCTTTGTGCTGATTAACTTCTTTGAGGCCCATGGACATCATCATGGAGGTTGATAACACCAACTATAAACTATCTGATGACAAAACTCTACTGTATTACTGCTTATATTCCCAGTCTTGCCTAATATCCCACTTAAGAAAAACTAACTCCCTTCATAAAATAAAATATTATCATATTTTCTCTAGGAAACAAATATTGAGGTAGAGTTAAGAGTACAAAAGGTTTATAAAAGAATAAATCCATGTGAAAAGAAAAGAAGAATCAGAATGGGGCAGAGGGACATGGACCATGATTCATACCTGACAAATCCTCTACCAGCGAAACGAGGAACTCCAGCGCCAAGACTGCCTAGGAGAGGAATCCCGTGCGGAGGGAAAGTGGGCAGGCTCTTGTACCACTCCCTGTTCAGTCATTGGCTGGGAGCTGACTCACGAACTAGATCTCAGCTGCCGTCATGTTATTCATTGTCTCACACTAACAAGCGATGAGCTTGACTTCAGCTGGAGACAGTGAGCTAACCATAGGACTTTCAGCTGGGCAGTGAGTCCTTTATTGAAAGGGGATCTGAGCCTCAGCCAGAATCCTCTCCAACTGTTTGTTATTGAATAATTAGCAGCAATATTTTTGTATATTAATTAATATTTTGTCAATGAATTCATTTAAAGTGAAGATTTACCTATATTGTGGCTAATAGGAATTGTAAAGAAACTTGGCTTTCCAAAATCATGCTCACTTTACTAAATTCTCTGATTTTTTTCCCTGGGAAGCTTTTTCAAGAAGTTTTTAATCTCACAGCTTTAAACCAGGTAGGTGCTAATATATCATTTGCACTTATTTATGGAATAACATATTAAGTATTCATTGTGTGTCATCAGAAGCAAATTTTATAAAATCCTTCTCTATGAATGATTTTGCAAATGAATCATAGTTACCTAGAGTTTTGTTTTTAGTTCTTATATGTACATGTGGCAAAATTCATACAAGTATCTGTCTAACACACAAGATGAAAACCCTTAAACAATACTTACTAAAATGAAGGCTATTCTCAGATGAATCGATATTCGCTCAATATATTTGCAAAATTCTCGGACATATTTGATAGGATGATCCATTGAGTTAGAAATCCTATTGATGTGTAGAATTAACAGGATTTTAGTATCTTGGTTTTTAAAATAAGGTTATTCCATTAACCCTTAGGCTAATGTAAGCAATTTAACCTTGTACTTTTTTAAATGCGTATTACTTATGAAAATATATAATTGAATAATTATGGCATCCTGTTTCTCAGTCAAGTATAATTAATTCTAGGACTAAAATTCAATTCTATATTTCCTAATTTTTTTTTTTTTTTTTTTGCGGCACGCGGGCCTCTCACTGTTATGGCCTCTCCCGTTGCGGAGCACAGGCTCCGGACGCGCAGGCTCAGCGGCCATGGCTCACGGGCCCAGCCGCTCTGCGGCTGGTGGGATCTTCCCGGACCGGGGCACGAACCCGTGTCCCCTGCATCGGCAGACGGACTCTCAACCCCTGCGCCACCAGGGAAGCCCTGTCCTTGTATTTCTTAAATAAGGTAAGCCATTGTTTTAAGTGACCCTTCCCACAATGTAGAATATATAAGAAAAAAAAATGAAAAGGCTAAAAACAGCCTGTTAAAAGTCCCTTTCTGTTATGAAGGCATGCCTTACTTGCTTTTCATGTTTTATGTAAGGAGTAGGGGATATCTTATCTCTCAATACCCTGAATAAACTCAGAGAATTATGTGTGAACAAAGCTATGAACTTTAGTTGCTAGGAACAAAAGTAATCAGACATCAAACACACCCCATTCCTCACCTATAAGTACCGTTGACTTAAAAATATATATATATATGCACAACGTGAGAGTTGTGAGTTAGCTTTATTTGGGGCAAAATGAGGACTGCAGCCCGGGAGACAGCGTTTCAGATAACTCTGAGAAACTGCTCCTAGGAGGCGAGGGGAGGAGCCAGAATACACGGGAGTTGTTTTTTTGGTTTTTTTAAAAATATTTTATTTTTTTGTGGCTGCATTGCGTCTTCGTAGCTGCACGCAGGCTTTCTCTAGTTGCGGCGAGCAGGGGCTACTCTTCGTTGCAGTGTGCGGGCTTCTCATTGCGGTGGCTTCTCTTGTTGCGGAGCATGGGCTCTAGAACGCAGGCTCAGTAGTTGTGGCGCACGGGCTTAGTTGCTTCGCGGCATGTGGGATCTTCCTGGACCACAGCGCAAACCCATGTCCCCTGCATTGGCAGGCAGATTCTTAACCACTGTGCTACCAGGGAAGACCCTATATAGGAGTTCTGCAACAAAGTGCAGGTAATTGGGAACATCAAAAGATTACTGTTAGAAAAAAAAAAAAGATTACTGTTAAATAAAGAAAACCAGGTATCTCAAGTTAAGGAATTAAGCTCTTTTCTATGTATAGGAAGATGCAAGAGTTGGGCTCACTGAAATCATTCCTTTGATATGCACCTCAGCTCTCTGGAGCCTGTATTTTCACATCCTGAGTTTCCTCAAGGCTCACCGCAGGGAGTGACTACAGTCTGATGGCTGCTAGATGGCAGGTATTCTTTTCAGCCCTGAGTTTCCTCAGGGCTCACCAGCTCACATTGGAGGGCTGCAATCATTGGTGACTGTGGCATCCTTTGTTTATTGATATGGCAGGAAATATTCCATTTATAAATACTCCATTCATCAGTGCATAATACACTTGTTTTGTTTGTTTGTTTGTTTCTAAATGCT